GTGCGTGTGTGTGTGTCTGTGTGTGTGTGTGTTTTGTATGTATGCATGAGTGTGTAAGCGTGTAAGTTATGTAAGTGAGTATATAAATATGCGTATATATGTGTGTAAGTGTATATGTATATAAGTAGTATAGGTATGTATATAAACATATTATGTTTGTGGGTGTGCATGTGTGTTTAAGTAGTCTAAGTAAGTGTATATAATACAGGTGTGTGTATGTGAGTATGTATTTTAGTTTTTATAAGTGTTTTACGGCGCTCGCAACTGCATAAGGTCATATGAGCGCGCGGGACACATTAAACTTTTTCAATTGGTAGGAAATTTTGAATTTTGCCCGGGTGGCGGCCGAAGCCTACTCTTATCGATTTTAGACAACCAAGGGATCTTTAACGTGCGCAACGAGCACACGGGCCCTCCGAGATTTTTCGCCCTTGTCCGAGAAGGCTAGGTGTAGATCTTTCATACCAGAAGATCAGGGGTGTGGCTGAAAGGCAGCAGTAAGAAGAAGCCAAGGAGTAGCAGTAGAGAGGCTTAGAAAGAATCAGGAGCCCAGAGGAGGGGGGCAAAGGAGATGAGGGAGTGGGGGCAGAAAGAGGAGACGAAAGCAGACGACAGAACATTGCTAGAGAGTAGGAAAGGAGGTGAAAGGAGACAAATTTAGAGAAGAAATTTTTTCGGTCACTACCCGGATTCGAACCCGGGACCTTTGAATGAGAGGCCAACACCTTAACCTCTAGGCCACGAGAGCCCCCTGTGTATGTATGTATGTGTGTAAGTAGTCTAAATGTGTATATAAACATGTGCGTATGTGTGTGTAAAGAGTATAGATGTGTATACAAACATGTTTCTACCCTAGAAAGACAAAGTTCTATCTTTTTTTTTCCTAGTAAGAGTTTTACGGCACATGCAACCCAATAAGGGCATATAAGTGCCGAAGATTAGATGTACATGTATTACAAGAGAGTAACATATACAGAAAAAGAAGGAGGAAAGATAAGGAAGATAGATGCCTGATAGAAAAGAAGGAGCAAACCACACCAGTTCTAGTTCTATCTGCTCAGCACCTAGTTTGAGAAATTGACATTAGAAACATGTCAAGCTTTTTCGAATACAATTCTGTAAATATCTTGATAACGACTGTAAGTAATTTTACGATTTTGAAAGAGCAGATAGAACACAATTTGGTTTCTTAACTCATCGTCTCAGTAACTTAAAACGGTCAAAATGCCAGATAGAACATTGTAATGCTGAGGTAGCGATGCATCTACCATGGCCCAGTGTGGGAATACAGTGGGTACCATACACACACACACACACACACACAAACACACTGACACATACATACACACACACGAGCGCGCACGTGCGCATACACACACGCGCGCGCGCACACACACA